CTAAACCGGCATGTCCCGTGATTAGAGGTCTATGATATACAACAACGACTACGGCATACGTTTACATGAGCCCCCCCCCCCCCTCGTCAGTAGGAAGCCGATGATCGATCAGTCCTGTGGGAACAATGCTCCGTCCGCTCGAGGACGCGTCGTGGTCAATGGTCTAACCGCTAAGGCATGCAAAGCATAAGAGTACCCCCCCCCCGCCCCCTCGTCACACGGCAGGTGCTTGGACGCGCTGCTGTTCCAGTTCTACGCCAAGAACGACGGGCTGAGGCTGACCGACCTGCACCAGGGAATCGTGTGGGGGACCAACACGCCGCAGACCGTGCGGGACGAGCGGCTTGTGAACCGCTTCGATTACGACAGCGACTACGGCACTGTCCTTAACCGGTGGGTTGGTGGGCGTGCGTGCATGCGTGCGTGCGCGCGTGGGTGGGTGGGTGGGATGGGTGTTTTTTGGCGCGTGCCTTTTTCGTGGGATTTGGTGTTTGTTTTTCGGGGCGCACTTGGCGCTACTTGTAGAACCCTCGGTAGAACCCTGGCGAAGATGATATTCGTACACAACACAATGTGTACTTTTACGTCGTTGCTCCGATGATGGTGTGGTGCGTTGATATTGTTGTTCTGGGGGGCGTTTTGGAGCTCGGGGAGTGTTGTGAGCTGGTTCGGCTAACGGCCACGGCGACCAATAGTGTCCTGTCCTATCCGGGCTTGGTGTGCATCGCTGCTAACGTTGATGGATGATGCTTGCTCATTGATGTTGTTGCTGCTGCTGCTGCTGCTGTTGTCGGCTGTGAGCGGTGTTGGAGGGCGGGGAGCATGGTGAGCTGGTGCGGCTACGGCGACCGCACTAGCGCCGTCCTAGGCAGCTCGTTGTGCGCCGCTGTTGATGTCCATGGTGTAGGATAGTCTTGTTGTGACATGCCTGTTGACGGCGTTCAATGTTCTTTTTTATCCTTTTGAAGTGTTTACTTGGATATTGGCGAGTCCCGTCGTCACCCCCCCCCCCCCCCCTCATGCCTACCCCCCCCCCCCCTCTTGCGAC